TAAAGAATAAAGTGGATTTATTTAATTATAAATGATTGTGTTGTACAAAGGAAAACAAACTAAAATACTCTAAACAGATATAAGTAAAACGTATAGTTTCAACTCAACTGAATTATAAAGTTGATTTATAAGCGCTCAAAAAGAGTTACTGAATGCAATGTTTTATTTAGTGAAAAAGAATTTCTTCAACAACAAGACGACAAGTCGAACCAAATATAGCACGTGAAGGCGTTACCGGCGGGTAGTCCGGCACATTTGCCAACTGAAAGTCCAACTGTAACTTTTCCTTTTGGTATTCCTTCGCAATTTTGTAATTTTAGAAGATGATGAAATAATGCCATCATCAATGTGAGTCATACTTCGTCCTGAATCAGCAGATTTGTAATTGAAATTACCAGACAAACAGTTACATATTGTACTATTGGCACCCTGCCAGGGAAGTAGAGTTCAATCGCAGATGACGTAGTAGATAAAATTGTAAAATTACGTCAGATTGCTCAACGCGCGCAGTATATTGTGTAGTGCGTGACTACATGGTCACACGTACAATTCATTCCAGTATTACTGCTATTATAAGTTAGTGTCTTGTGTGGGTAACAACCACCATGCTCACTGACTATGTTACAATTAAAAATGGTCAGAGACGACGTCCGAGAATCGTAATCCTCGATGATAGTCAGACATACAAATGATGGCGAAGAATACCCTTTTGTGCGTTCATCACTTTGTCGTTTCATACGTTCGATTGACTCAGAGCAAATTTTTGGTGAAAAAGACTAAATTTTGTGTTATAAAGTTAATTAAAGTGAGTTTTGGAATTAAGTGATTAAGCTTGCTTATTTGTGCTTTCTCATCGAATAAAATTGTACAAATTGTACTGTAAAATTGTACCGGTAAAATTGTACTGTTCGTAAGGTCAATATGACAATGACAATTAATCCAAGCGCACATAGCTACTTATAATAGTATGAATGTAATTTATTACCTATGTGTGAACTGCGAAGCGTCTGTCCGCGTACAAAGATCATGCAGTTATTTGCAATTAGCACAAAATCGCCGGTGGCCGAATCATATGAAAATGTTCTTATATTGAGAATAGTCAACAAAAAACATCACGCCGCAAAAATTGATTTGTATAATTGTATGATATTGCCTGTTGGTATCTATTTAAGCGGAACTAAGCACGAGCTCGATTCATCGATTGTACAAACAAATAATGTACTCTTCAAAAAAATTCATAAAAAACTAATTAATGAAAGTCAAGATACTATTCAAATGTCGTTTCGCAAGTGATCACAAATACTAATAATATCTCGTTCAGTCGAATGGTCCTAGCAACTTTTTGTAAGTACGATATACTGCCTAGTCCAATTTAGTATTATATGCATTGCTTATAAATTATTCGCTTTACACAAACAGGCTTACAGTACACTGTTGGTGAATTCATTAAAACTGAAAACAAGCGAATTTATTTTGCTTTCGATTAAAGATCTTTCAAAATGTGATAAGAAAAAAGTGTGACAATAAACAACACGGCCCGTTGGCTCTAAACACAAGTGTCTATTTAACAAATAGATAACATTTAACCGTTGTCTATACAGTTATAGATACACGGGTATGACGTCAATTGTGATAAAAACGAAAGTGGCCACTAGCCATCGGGCGAGTGATCACTTAGACACGTCAGAAAACTGTTTTGAAAAACTATAACAAAAATAATATCAGTGAAAAAACCCTTAAAAGTCGCGAGAAACTTAAGACGTCACTTTCCGTGATGCGAGGCTTTTGAATACAGTCACGTGCCATGCAATCTAAGCTGGGGCGCTCGTAAAATGCTGAAAGATTTAGGCAATTACTTAATCATATAGCTGAAGAACATTTTCAAATATTGAACAAGTTTGACTTAAGTAATTTTAATTATACAATTTTCTTTGATCTATGTTGATTAAATCTACTTCATGAAGTCACGATAGTTGAGCCTGTTAAGGCTTAGGTAAAAGTTCCTAAGTATGATTATAAAGATAGTGACAGCCGCAGCCGAAGTTAGCAATTATGAAAGATGGTCCGAAAAAAATTGAAAACTTAATATAAACAAGAAGTCTATCAGGTGTCCACTCGAATACTCTAGAACAGTGTTTGTTTATATTTGTTTTATTATAATTGTTACCAAATAGCACAACGAAATTCAGGGCAATCTAATCTCACATGTAATACAATGAGTAAGTAATAAGATGGTTGCCCACTTGCACTGATTACATCGTTGGTGTTTTTGTCCTCGCGCATGTTGTACCGCGCATATCGGCAGATATTCTAGCAAGATATTTTGGACCTTTTCACTTGTTCCCAACTACTGAAATGACACGACATCATTTCTTATATTGAAATATTTTCAATTTCATTATGAAGAAATGACGTCATGTAATTGCAGTGGTTGGAAACAACCTTAAGTATCTTGCTGGAATGATGGCGGCCGTGAAGATCCGGTGCCCACTTGTGTGGCCCTTCAGTATAATTTTTATTCTGTGGTATGAATTATATTATATAAGGAAGATATAAATTAATTTACTTTGTTATAAGAAATATAAACTTTTTACTCCTTATATTTATATGTTGCTCTACATTGAGTTTTAGCTCTACATTAAGTCTATAACAGAGAAGTAAACGAATATATTCCGCAATTTGAGCTAAATTAAACGCAGATTATATTTGTTTTGTAATTATTTATCAAATTATTTATTCAAAACTGTCAGTTTCATAATATCGATCTACATAAAATTTGATATTTTCACTTGTCGTTTTTATTTTATTTTTCTCCCATCATGATGATGGACAAAGACGTGAAATTGAAGAATAAAGATTGCTGTGTGGTCAATATGGCTTTAAGTACCTAACAGTGTGGTCCCCCCTCATCAAGCATAAAAAAGCTTCTCCATCGACGCTTTCACAGTTATATAGTCAGGACCAACTTACTTGCCACACTTCCTCCTATTTTGGGCACTGCTAACTTTATCATTGCTAACTTTTGCCATCTCGTAATCCGTATAGCTGTTACACCAGCTAAGCAGCTCATTGTTCAAAACACTCTTTCCATCTTTCTCTCATACTTACGGTATTTGTCAAAACATTTCCATTTTCTCTATCATTATTTTAAAATGCTAAGCAGATCTTTATTTTTCTTCCTTGCTAATTTTTATAAATCGTTCTTTCCCAGTGACGCCAATAGCGCAATAATTGAAGTGCGTGTGGAGGGCTGTATTCAAGTATGTATGTTTTGTCGTATTATAAGATTCTTTGAAATCAGTTGTCTCTTAGGGATTACAACATAAATGTGTCAATATTTGCTTCTTCAATGATGGAGCTTACGTCGCGTATTTTTGCCTCCCTCTCCCTCTCTACTCTCTAACCGATTGCAAAAGCCATTGTAAACAGTTTAGCTTTCGTCATTTTTACCTCTACCATGTGGTTTATCGAGTTGTATCACTTTTGTAAACCTGTTAAATATCATCAGTCATCTCAGTATCCCATTTCTTCTTCGCTATTCTCTTTCTTTGTTTGCACTCCTTCCTTCCGTATTCCACTACTTAGTCTCCTCAGACACGTAGCCAGAACGCTAATCTTGGGGGGGGGGGGAACTGGCATGCATAACACGCCATATTAGTTTCTTTTGAAATCCATTGTTTATTCAGGACTATAAAATGAAGAAAGGAATATGCCCCCCCAATTATCGTTCTGGCCACGTGTTAAAGTCTCATTGACTATTTTCCTTCAAGAAAACAAAGCAAATTATTTTTACCTGTCTAGCTTACCATCTAATTGTTTGACGCAGTGCGTCAGTCATATATAGGAACGTGTTAGGTACTTAAAGCCATATTGACCACACAGCAATCTTTATTCTTCAATTTCACGTCTTTGTCCATCATCATGATGGGAGAAAAATAAAATAAAAACGACAAGTGAAAATATCAAATTTTATGTAGATCGATATTATGAAACTGACAGTTTTGAATAAATAATTTGATAAATAATTACAAAACAAATATAATCTGCGTTTAATTTAGCTCAAATTGCGGAATATATTCGTTTACTTCTCTGTTATAGACTTAATGTAGAGCTAAAACTCAATGTAGAGCAACATATAAATATAAGGAGTAAAAAGTTTATATTTCTTATAACAAAGTAAATTAATTTATATCTTCCTTATATAATATAATTCATACCACAGAATAAAAATTATACTGAAGGGCACGGCCGCCATCATTCCAGCAAGATACTTGTTGTTTCCAACCACTGCAATTACATGACGTCATTTCTTCATAATGAAATTGAAAATATTTCAATATAAGAAATGATGTCGTGTCATTTCAGTAGTTGGGAACAAGTGAAAAGGTCCAAAATATCTTGCTAGAATATCTGCCGATATGCGCGGTACAACATGCGCGAGGACAAAAACATCAAAGGCTCCGACATGAGTCGCCCTTCTGAATAAATATCTAATCTGTGTTCATACTTTATTCCTATTGTGTTCACATAAACATAATATGTCAATATAAATACATAATTAATATCCTATATGCATAATTAAACAATATTGGATATAATCAATATAAATATATCATATAAGAATATATATCATGTATTTCAATTGACATATAGCTACTTCACACTTTACGCACGAGACACTTAATAGCTTTCCTAAATTTTTATTTTGCTAACCATGAAGCTCGTCGACTTCGACATCACCCCCGTAAAATAGTGCGGTGGACGACCCATAAGGGGGGTGAACACGTTCCCCTTGGTGCTGCAACTGACAAGAACGATCAGTGCACCTACATTGACATAGATAATTAAGCGGAGGATAACTAGCACTAAAGGAACCAATTTGAAACAACTCCCTTCGGCAGGAACGCTCACGTACTTTGCACGCATCAAGTTCTGCTGTAAGATGTCGGAGGATTTCCTCAGAGTCCTCAAGCTTTTGTTTGTACATTTCTTTTCATCGTTTAGTTTTCTCTGTCTTTACGCTCACGGTCAAAGTCTTCTTTATAAACGAGTATCTGCGACTTCAACATTTCACATTTTTCTACTTCGTTTTCATCGCGATTATGTTGAACACTTTGTTGCGCGTACAAAGCCGAGGCTAATCGTCCTAATTCGTCTTCTAAAGGACTTTGTCGCTCTTCAAGTTCATTTACTCGTCCTTTTACTATTTTACTTCCTCTACGAGTAAATCTCTCCTTTTAAGCATTCTGAAGCGCATTTCCAATTGTTCGTAGTCATTTTTCCAGCCATGATTAATTTCAAGTAATACGTTGTATTTTTGTTTACGTTTGTCCTCCCCTTCAGCCAGTCGCAATCTCTCGTCGGCAAGGCGCGAAGTTTGATTACGCGATTCATTGTTCAGTTTATCATTTTCTTGTCGTAAATTTCTCATCATTTTTGCCAAATGTTCGTTGTCATTTAAACACTGCTTGTATTTCAGTTCAAGGTCTTCGTAACTGCACTTTTCATTTTTGATTTCATTATCCATTATCGGCACAAACTAATTTCAAGTCTTATTTTCTCTTCTCGACGACTATATCCGATCACTCTACGATCGTGTTTGATCTGATGCCTTGCACTCTCGTCGTTGTTCTTTATGCTGTGCAAATGACGTATTTTAATATATTGTCATGGGGATTCACCCACGCGTATGTAAACTATTTATCAAAACAAACATTGTAGATGATTTCGAAAGTGAAGAGGTGTCTTGACGATATAATATCATTAAATAAACTTTTTTGACTATCCTGACAACCAAGTTTCACCATTCATTACCCCCTAAAATCATCACGCAATCAAAAGTAACAAGCAAATGTTATTTTGCAGAAATTTGCATGATATAATAATGACCTTTTATGGACTCCATTTACGTTTTATGTGATAATTTACATAAGAAAATAAACATTCTCACAAAATGCAGCAGTATTATTTCATATTTTCATTTGTACCTATGTTCGATAGACAATCAATTAGCAATTACAATCTCGATTGAGAATTTATGTCCGTTGACTTGCGCTTCTTGTGACAGATGCTCAAGCCAGTTATCGCATCAATGTTTACTTAAATTCTGAAATATTAAACGATTGCCTGAAACGCGCTTCAACAGATGGGTGTAATACAGACGTCAAACAATGTGCGTCATCTTATTGGAATACATGTAAGCTGGCATGATTTATTTAACATCAAAAGAAAAGACGATTTCACGAAACGTCTCAAAAACAACATGAAAACGTCACAAATTTAGATGGAAGGAACAGGTCCAACGCAAAGACAAGATTGAAAATCCAAGTGATACGGAAATGTTTCGCTTTCTCAATAGCTCAGCTAAGCGTTAAAGTGAAATTATCGTACTCTATTTCGAGTGATGCACAAGCATTTAAGCTATAATAAAAATTACGCCACAAATAACTCGCACGAGACTGCGATACAAATTGCTTCAAGCTTACCGCACATCGTTGCAGAGCGTTGCAGCGATAGCTTACACCGTCTGAAAGTGGGAAATCTAGAAGATATCCCTGCTGAGATGCAAATTTGTTGCCACTAAACGTCGCACTTGAAGCCGGGTACTCAAATAGTCACTTGAGTTTAGCAGTCTTCTCTAGAACACAAGGCGAAGGACAGAGCTCTATCCAGAAGACTGAAAAGAATCAGTCAATACGATTCAAACGACAATAATAAACTATTGAGCAGTTTACTTGTTTATAGGCGACTTGCCGCCCATGGTGTTGTTTTGGTTTATACCTTAATGTGTACCAACAATAGGAATGAAAGTGTAAACGACGCACATCTTCACCTATTAAAATGATGAAGTTGAGTCACGGTTCATTTTATGTACCGTCAGTGGCGACGCCAGCCTCCGACAAATGGTCATGCAATCGAGCGGTGGATTACTGGCCCCCCGTCAAATAATAAAATAAAAATTTTACATGTTTGTAAATGTAGATCGTCCAGGTTGGTATAGTCCTGAGAAGGATTGTTTTTGTTGTTGTTGACTGACGTTTCGACAGCCTTAGCTGTAGCCATCTTCAGAGTCAAATAAAAACTTTCCTGTGTGGGCTACTAGTTGAGAATGTACTAAAATACCCAACATTAGCAAAAAATACCTTGACAGGAGAAATAGATGACACAGCTTGCCTTAAAACAAGATTCAAACTATGAGCTGCACAATGAACAAAGTAAGCAAAAGCATACTGTTGACACATTAATGCTTGGGCACCACCAATATGACCAAATTTGTAAAAATGCAATGCTATGAATAAATGTTGAATCTGAATAACACAAAAAGGTATAATCACTTCGGATTCCATATCTCTCTATATAGCAAAAACACTGTTTCATAACCCCCACTTCCCCTCCGTCACTATTACTAATAAAGCTGTAATTCCTGAGCAGGGACGTAACTAGAGCGCTGATTTCTTTAGGAAAGAAATTCACTTTCAAGAGAAACCATTCAGGACAATTAAATATATGAATAACCATGCAATCCCTCAATCAACATTCTAGTTACGCCACTGTTCCTGAGGGAAGATACAACAACATTACCAACTTGAGCTGGAGTCAATATTAGCATTTATTCGAAAAACGGATGGTTTGTGGGCCCGTTTCAGCTTGAACGTGGCAGGAATGAATCACAAGAGTGAATCACAACTCCATACTAACTCCCATGAGCTTTGAGAAAACGCATATAGGTAAATGTCAGAGCATGCAAAAGGATGTCGAGTACTGATGTCTTACTTATTGCCAACGTGGCGCAAACAAGGCAATGACATTTAAATGATTTAAGAAAATAGCTAAGATTTGAACTAAACTTGTCAATTACATCTCATCGTAAATTTTAGGACGTACCGTAAAATTGTTTCAGAGGTTTAATGACGCACTGTACATTTTTCGTTATTTTGCTGTAGAGCATGGGCATACCGGCTAACCTTTTTTAGGGAGTCTGTGATGTCGGTACATTTTCAATCGTGAATAACTTAATTTCCCGACTTTCCAGTCACCCCAGTGACATTGCATATGAAACGCCTATGCGAAACGCCTATGCTACTCAGTCTAACGAATCCAAGATGATAAGAGTGAAGAAACCACTTATCATTTACAGCTTCGACACTAAATATTGTGCTATAAGCATATTTCATAAAAGAAAACTACCTAATTTAGACCTTCAACACGGATAAATGTACGCATAAATGAATGGTACATGTTCAGGGGATCTTTTCTAAATTTCACCACAGCTTTTCTATCATATGTTAACATCATTCGATGAAGTAAATAACTCAGAAATCATACGTTGATGGAATTTATGTCAACCAAAAGTAAATAGTTGTACATGGCGTCTATGTTATACTAACTGTTTTTGTCAGATGCAATACGGTAAAATCCCCCGCAAAAGAACCTAGATTTTAAGAACAAGTAAGGGGCTAAAATTTCTGAATTATACCCTGTTTGTATAAGAACCTGTGTAGGATAAGATTTCAAATGGTTTGGTAAGTTCAAAGAGGCTGAAACTTAGAGAAAATAAACTTTTTACAAAGCAATAAGACTAGCCTTGAAAAAATGTAAGTTCTTATGCGCGGGGTTCTACTATAAAAGATTGAAACATTTATACAAATAATAAAATAAAGAAACGGTTGAACTGCATAAGGAGAAGACAAATGTTACTTTGCAACCGTAAGTGATCAGGAAGGGCTTGTTCAGCTATCCCGGCAAGGCTCAAAATCATCGAAAATAATCCATCATTCAAAGCCCTGTTCACAGGTGATTATAGTCGTCTCATGCAGGCAATATCATATCAGCATGGGTCCAAAACGAAGATCACTTTGATCGTACAGAAAATTTTCCGTAAAGTCCATAATACATAATACAGATGATCACTTGGAAATTAACTAGGCTTAAGTAGGCATATCATGCATCTACCAAGTACAAATATGTAACATCGGACAAGCTATTCTTCCGCTCTACTTAATAAGGTAGGCAATAACTTTCCATGTTATCGTTTCATCCTTCGGTTTCGAATCGCTACCTAAAGAACCATATCCTAATTTGGTAGTAAATCGTTTGTTGTAGCAATATTGAACTTGGGCATGTATTAGAAACAATTAACACTTTATCTCTGACAATTTACACACTTATATCTATAATTGCTTGACGGCAAATAATTGCTAAAACTATAGATCAAAGACAAAATGTATCGCAATTTGTCATTGTCGTTCGAGACACGACACTAAACACATTTGTTAAACATAAATGCATGGTTCAAAAAGCTGACCTGACATAAATCACGATAAAGTCGTAGGGCTTAACATAACTATGTGGCATTTTTTAATAAAATCTCAATCAATAGGACGATTTATGATTACTCACGGATCACCGTGGAAACGGCAGAATATTTTAAAACTGATACGAATAATTACAACTGTTAAATAAAAAACGTTTCTTTGCTCTTACACACGACTATAAGTGTCTTTAATACATTCTTACGGAAATAGGTTCTTATTGATCCATCATGTCGTTATTGAAGTTTGTAATGACCTGTATGAAAACAAATCTCGACAAATGTTACTAAGCCCCTATGGTCACTAAAGACAAATAGTATTAGAGACATATAATTGTAGTTATGTAGTTAGGGATAGCTATACGATAGTGATACGACTCTAGCTTGTTTAACTACCAATACTCAATGCTGTTTGTTTCAAATGCCCAACTTCTTATGCTAAGTTTCATTCTTTCACCAACAAAAATTCGCTTCCATGTTCAGAGGTGTGCTCGGAAGTTGGAACAAGTCATATCGCTTAACATCAAATGTACTGAGCGAGCAAGGTAGCATATGATCATCGTGACTATACAAGACATATGACGAAACAAAAGCTATATCAAAAAAATATCCATGCAAAATATGTTTCTTCTATTTGTAAACCAAAAACTTCGTATCATGTCAGTTGCGTATTTTGTCCTCAAATAGATCACCGATCATGAAGCAATATGCTCCTATTAGAACGCTTTAACTGCGTAGGCAACGCACCTAATTTGCGTCATTGCATATTTTATTACAATTAAAAAATTCCGAACATTTGAAAGCTAAATTACTCTGCTACTATAGCATTACATAAGAATAATAAACACATATGGTAACATTATTCTTTTAGCAACACAGGCCGTAACTTGAGGTATAGTTGAAGTGTGCAGCGACAACATAATGCATGTAATTACATCAAGTACTTAATAAAACGCGTTTGATATTTGAATCATCTGACACGAATGACAAATGTTGTTCAAAACTTCCGCGCACACTAGGAACTTTTGACGATCACACTTGTCACGAATAACAAGTTCGCGCGGCAAGTTCACCAGTGTGCGGCGGGCTTTACGTAGATGATATTTTTTGTATATTTAACAACGAAAACGACGCCTCATTATTCCTTAATTATTTAAACCTACTACACACAAACATTACCTTTACAGTAAAAAAAGAACAGGACAATAAATTGCCTTTCTTAGACATACTTATCACTAAAGACACAACTTCAGACAAATGCATAACTTCCGTCTTTCACAAGAAAACTTACACCGGACTCTTAATGAACTTTTTTAGTTTTACACCACGTAATTATAAAACAGGACTTATAAAAACTCTCCTTGAACGCATCCACAGAATCAACAATACAGCAAAGCGCTGCGAAAATGACATAAATACACTAATTGAAACTTTAAAACGCAATTCTTTTCATGTCCATTTCATAGACAAAGTCATACAATCATTCAACGACAAAATACAATCAGACACACAAGCATCTGATGAACCTAACCAAAACAAACCAAACATATACTATTTCAAACTTCCTTACATTAACTCATACTCACACACCACTCAACAAAAACTACGGAAGTTAACAAAACGCTTCTGTGTTGACTTAAAAATCAAGTTGGTCTTCTCATCTTACAAAATAAAAATCTTTTAGTTTTAAAACAGTATTCCATCTCTACTCAAATCTTGCGTGGTTTATGAATTTTCATGTGCGGGATGTAATTCCCGTTACGTTGGTGAGACAACTCGCCATCTCTCCACACGCATCAAAGAACACACACATTCTGACCAAAACTCACATATTTATAAACACCTTCACACTCCACCACATTGCAAATCAAAATACAACCATTCATGTTTCGCATCTTAGACACCGCCAACTCTCCTTTTTCTCTTAAACTGAAAGAAGCGCTCTACATTAAAAAGCTCAAACCAGACCTCAACAAACAAATATACCAAATTAATACAATATTTAACCTGTAATATAAGATCTAACACTAATTTTGTAATTTAATACATTTAACGATAGTCACCTACACATATATATATCATGTAAATAGCATAATCACCTTCATTCTATGTACTGAAGATGGCATAAGCATGCCGAAACATGTTTACTATAAAAAAACTCGTCGTTCATTTAAAATGTTGTGGATTTCTGGTGATCTGGAAGAACAATTATTTGAGACTAATTCATTACAGGCCATTATTTTCACCTTACTATTGTATTTATTTCTTTAATAAATCTATTCAATAATTTACCATGTTTATGGTATTAGCTTGATAAATTTGCTCGCTGATTAGGAACTGAAGTAACGTTGCTAGGTGAATTAGACTATGACGTTGCTATTTAATTAAAGAACTTACTCTTCATCAGCTGTGTATTGCAAGTTATGAGGAGTAAAGCGGTGTTATATCTCACTTATGTGTTTTCATTTCGTTTGGTAGCTACATAATAGCAATTGCATAATTTATATAAAATCTCCACTGCGTTAATGAAAATGAGAGATGAAATTATTTATATTTTGAAATTGGAGACAGCGGCAAGATGGCTGTGAATTTAGACAAACAAGAATAATGCACGATCTGCATTAGTTGCCATCAAACCAGCTTTAAAGTAACTCTCTAGTAAAAACAAAATGTACCTCAAATGGCACGTAACAGTTGGAAGATTTAATCGCTCTGTTTACATAAAAGTTGCAAATATACATATATATATACATAAAAGATAAAAGTTTCTCCGGATTTTAAATGATTTTTATTGAGCTTTTGACTCGTTGCTTCGAGCCTTCATCAGAACGAGGAAATTACTATTTACATGTGCTTTTAGCTTGTAGACGCTTAGAGCGTCTAATTGGATTAGCGGGTGGATTAATGTGATTGGATGGGGTGGAAAGCGTTGCCATGGGTTTTGGTGTATTGTTAATATAATCGGTGTTAATATTATTACAGTGTAATGTTGTAGTTTTGGTGTTGTTTGTAGTTTTGGTGTTGTTTGTAGTTTTGGTGTTGTTTGTAGCTTTTTGTCCTTTTTTTCTTTAGTTGTGAGTATATGATGGGTATGTCGATATGTCTGTTTATTGTGTCGTTGCCTTTACTGTAACAAGCTTTAGTACTTTAGCTTCTGTCCAGTTGAATGTGGGGTTATTTCCGTGGGTATGTTCTAACGGTAGTGAGTTCGGATTTCGTTGTTTTATGGCGTTTTTGTGTTCTGTGAGTTATGTTTCGATTTTCTTTGGTGTTTGTCCTATGTATTGCTTTGAACAGTCTTTGAACGTCTACAAGCAAAAAAGCACATGTAAATAGTAATTTCCTCATTCTGATGAAGGCTCGAAGCACAATAAAAATCCTTTTATACAATCCGGAGAATCTTTTATTTCTATACATATATATAAGTATATAAATTGATAGAAGAAGAAAATACACAAAAACTATAATTTCATCCTGACAAGCCTGTTTCGTGATTTCTCACTCTTCAGGGGATAATATTGAATTAATACAAAAGCATGTGCTTGATTATATATACAAGAGGAAGTTAGGGTATAGTTAAGATAGAATTACATAATATGTTACGTGTACAAACGTACACCTAATAAAAGTGCCTTGTGTCTATGGCGACAAGAGGAGATAAGTTCGTTACGTTTGTTGAGTGATGATAGTTGTGGTTGGTAGGTGATGAAGAATTTTTCTTTCAGGCATAGGTTGCATCTTTTGTTGGCGCTGTTGTACGGTTTGCTGTGAGTAATGATGTTCCATGAGATATCGTGAGCGATGTTGTCTTTTAGTGTCCATATGTGTTTACTGAGTTCGGTAGAGTTTTTTAGTTTTTTGTGGCGGAAAGAGGCAGTGTGGTCCCTGTGTCGAGTCTTAAATTCGTTTTCTGTAAGTCCGATGTAGGTCTCTCAGTTGTGTTAGTGTCCAAACGTTTAACAGTTGTTTGGTAGATGACAAATTATTGTAGGCAGTTTCCGTTAAGTGGGCAGTTTTTTATTTCTGTCGGCAGTTGCATGTTTTAGTTTGTGTATTTTCGT